GATTTTCCATCATGGGAAATGATGAGCTCATTTATTATAATTGCTCAGGGCACTGCCAGCTTAGTGTGTATGTTTGGAGAGCAATATATAACGAAATAAATTCTTCTATTAAATAAGTCCACAGCCAATGGATCTGGTAGTTTTAATTCACCTGCATTAGTCCCTAGTTGCAGTACTTGCTGGGTTGTTGTGCTCCTCTGTTGAGAAGGAATGGCTCCATATTTCTGGCCACATCATCATGAGTTGTGAATAATAAACCAAGTGACATGATTTATTTGATTACTGCAGTGCTTGTGAATAATTCAGCATTGACAGCCTGGGAGGAAAAGTACCATTGAATGCCCTGGGATAGGCATAAGATGGGTCACAACACTAGAAGGTTTTCCCCTCCAGCGCAGGCATTGTGCCTCATTTCTGAAGTTACTATCCCATTGACTTATTTGCTGGGCTGTCACATCAGCTATAGCAATGTTTTTAACACCACTATATTTCTTGACATTTGTTCCTTAAAAAATGGGAATAAGGTCACACTAAGCAGCTGTGAATAGCCATCAACTTTCAGTCACCACCAGCCTGGATGACATTTGAAACAGTAGCTTTGGTTGGGGATGAAAGGCTCTGTGTCCTACTGACAGTGCCTTCAGCCAGTCAAAGATGGAAGTAGGAATGAGAAGTCTGAGATGCATATTTAAAATTGCAGGAACAGCACTCACTATGAAGACATTATTTGAAAGAGTGTCTAGAGGGCAATAGGAGTATTCTCAATTCTTTAATATTTTTAGTCTGGTTAGTATTATATTTCATGTCCTACATATGATCCTAGTTAGTCCGTAGAAAAAAATGTATTGCTGATTGTTTTTGCTGCAGTATTAGCTGAAGGTGCAAGTTCCATTCACAGAAAAGCTTCCATCCAGAGGTAAATGATACTTTATTACAGCATGTGTCAATATCCAGGTGATGCTGACATTGGACCTGTGAGTGTCTGGTAGTTCTGATAAACCAGCCCGCAGCAGCTTCTGCATTACCCATGTGGCTGCTCTCAGCCTGTGCCAGTAAAGTTGAGCAAGAACTGAATACCTGTAATTAGCTTAATTATATTAAATTTTGATGAAAATGTAGGGAAGCATCACTTTATGAGATTAAAATACATGTGTTTGGGAAAGAGAAAGAAAGAGTTTGTGAGAAAGAGGTATGTTTTGAGGTGTCTTGCTTGTATCTGTGTATACAAGCAAGGTAGTAGCTTGTTGAGCAAATGGTGAACATCCCCAGCAGTTGTTTCTTTAAGAAGATGATACTCAAAGCTGAATATGCTTCCAAGACCTTTCTTCTACCAAGAAAAAGTTTCAAATATAAAGCTTCTTATTTTTGCATTATTTTCCAGTTTACTTCACAGACATCAAGTTTATTATTCACTTGGATCCTCAACAGAGAAGAGTTTCTCTTTAAAATGGTGAGAGAGTAGTTTACTGCTGAGGTAATTTCTTTCCATTGTAAATCACAAAATGTGACTTACAACTAATCAGAGGAAGCAGTTTAGCATTATGAAACCAACCTTTACAGAAGTAATTTGCCCTTAAGTTTCTATGCTTTCTTGAAATTTGAATGGCAAAAATCCCTTCTTAGAGTAAAAATGAAAAATTGAAATGAAAAATGAACAAAGTTTATTAGTGAAGTAGATATTCCAATGGAAATATTTTATAATATAACTTTTCCTGCACTCATCTTTAGCAGCACCATAACATCTGAATAGTTTTCTGGAATTTTTTGAAAATACCGATTGTTATGTATCAACCATGATATTCCTTATGGCTCACCCTTGTTTAACAGGATTGAGGAGAGGAGAGCTGCTGAATGGCTGTGGGCATAATAAAGAAAAGTAATTTTTAAATTCTTGTTAAATTGCAGTGAGTGTACAACTAAACTGAGATTTAATTACATTTTTAATTAAAGGAATAGCTATTGATTATGTCATTGAATCTGTGTTGCAGCCAGCCCTAACAAACAGCAATATTACAAGAGATCATTAAACTAGTTGTTAAAATTCCAAATGAATGAGAACTAGAACTGGTGTGTGTGGATAAAAGGTGCAGCAATGGTGGGTAGAAGAAAAAGATAACCAAAGGAAAAATACATTAATTTCTCAAATTTTGGTGAATAGTGGTTTTATGTCCTATCATAATTTATTATAACCTATGGAACAAAAGGAAGATGAAACTGGAACTGTTTTGTTTGAAGTAAGAAACTTGAGTAAAGTTTCACCTTGAAAGTGAACAGTGATTCAAATACTATTTCTCACAAGCTCCTGTGAAGCAGGATGTAATCTGTCGTGTGCAAGAGACCTTCAAATTACTCAGGGAGCAATCAGATCTACTCAGACTGAGATAAAGAGCAAATAAGAGCCCGTGATCAGAGCATGGGGGTGCTGACAAAACCCATAGGCAGCTGTGGCTGAGCTGGCTCCTGGGTGCTGGCAGCTCACCCTGTATTTAACCTGCAGTTTGCCTGCTAGCACAGAGTTGGTCTCCTCCCAGGCCCATGGAGTGGGTGCCTGGTGGTGGATAGGAAGCATTTTTGTGGGCATTGGTGAGGAAGAGCTGGTGGGGAAGCTCCAGCCGCCCACATAAATCTGTGCAACCCTGTTTGGTCTGGGCAAGTTCTCTGTGGGCATGGTGGCACTGCCAACTGGACAGGTTGGTTCTTCACCAACACCCCTTGGCTTGGATGGAGCTGGTAGTTGACACTCTCAAGAAAATGTGTTCTAAATTTGGGTTATACTTAATTTAAATGGATGAGAGGCAGCTCATGCTGATCCTTTCCCTCCTTGTGCTTCCACTTTTACTGCTGAAAGGATCTTACTGAAGCATTTTGTTAGCTCAGGGAGTAGCCCCTGTGGATGGACACCATGGGAGCCCATTGCTCGTGGATGAAAGTTGCTCTGCACAGTGAAGTCTAACAGGGAGGTGATGAGATAATCTCCTGGGTGTTTCTGTTTGAGTCTTTTACAATTTCTGTGCATATAAAGCCATTTTAATCCTTTCTATTCAAATGTTTTCACATACACAGAAATGTGTTCTTAATAGTAACACAGGGCACAGGGCATGCTGCAGCATGGACCAGCTTATAGTCAGACCCTGTGACTCAGTTGGACTAAGTTATTGCTTGAAATAGATAATTTTAGAATTAAACCTCTTTCTTCTTTTATAGTTGAGCATATTTTGAATGTTCTCTATCTGATGTCATTGGCTGTTTTTGTGAAGAGACCAGGAAGGTTGTACAAATGTCAGCACCCAAAAGTTAGGATGTAGTAGAATGAGAGATATTTGTAACCTTTATTTGATGTGATAGCTTTATAGAGCAATATTCAGTCCTAGTGACCTTCCCTCCCTGTGACCTCTTGGCTTTTTAGTGTTCAGGATAAACAAGGGGCATGAATGTGGAAAGCGCAAGGAATGTGGCAGTAGCTGGTGAGGTGCAGGGAAATGTTTGGTTGAGGCATAACCATTCTTTAGGAACAGAAAGCAATGTTTTGTGGTGAAAATACTTTTCTCCCTGTGTTGCTCCTATTATACATGGTGTTGTTCTCACATACAGAACCCAGACTACAAAACGTTTTCTGTGTCTAGCAGGTAACATATAGAGAAGACTGGATTTCTGAAATACAACCTGAGAGAATCAGATATAAACCTCAACAGAGTAAAAAGGTTTAACCATCTGTAATCAGGATTTACCAATGATTTGTGCTTAGGTAATGGCATCACTGTTTTTTTTTCCAACGCACAGGATATGTTTTGGTTTATTTCAGGCAGGTCCTTGTTCCCTGTAAGTGCTAAAATACAGGATGTTACGATTATAGATGTAGTGACACTGTTGTTGCAGAATCACTGCTGATAAATTATGGTGGGACGGCGGCTGTAAATATAGCTTCTGTTGTGATTTAAGAGGGAGATGTGAAGGCGTGTTGCCCAGATGCTGGATCAATGGTAAATAGAGCCAGCCACAGCATGCTAAAGCTTACAAGTCCTTGCCAGATTTTGGGATTAGAAGTTATCGTTTCTAGCGTTAACTCCTCCGGTGTCAAAATAATCAGCTGGTCTGGTCATCCCCTTTTCCTTTCTCTTCAGCCAAGATTTATTTACCTTTGCAAGCAGGAACTGACACGCAAACCGTTTTTTTTTTTTTTTAAATTTATTTGAGATACAAGAGCTTTTCAGCAAGTTGACAAGTATTCAGTGTCTGTTCAAGCTACAGTGCATGAGGCTTCACGTTGTGTTCCTTATGACCTTCCTGCTCACCTGCTTAACCACCAGGAAACATGTGGCTGTCTGGAGCTGTGTAGTTGTACTGCTTAAGGATGGAGAAACAATAAACCAGTCTTTGTGGACTCGTAATAAACCACACCAGCAGCAAAATCAGCTATAATCAGGATTCATTTGACACAAAAGGGCAAACAGCTTTGGTCACTCTGCCCCCTGCTCTATAGGTGACAATCCTGTGCAGGTAACACTCCTAATGACTGATGAGGGGTGAGAAAAATTTCCATATGCAGTTGCCAGCTTTGCGGTGATTTTAACCTGGTTTCTCTCAAGGAAACCCCACATGTTCTGATCTGAAGGCTGGTAGAAGCTTGGTTACTTTTTCCCTGAAGTGAGAAATGAAAATAACTGTCTCCCCCAAGATATCCCTGGGATTCAGACTGAATGGGGCTTGTATTTGCATTGATACTAAGGATGAAATCAGGATTGTCAGACTGTGATATGTGAATTTGCACCCATACAGGGACTCAGAACGTGGGTGAATATTGTTAACTAAGCCAAGATATTTTAGATGGTCTCTGCCTAAAATTCAGTAAAAGGAACTTTCTCACTGGTCTCTTCAATGTCACATTCCATTTACAATTGTAATAAATGCTGTAACTTGTTTCCTTCTCTCTTATCCCACAAAAATGACAGAGAAGAATCTTTTGCTAAGCCTTTGGTAAAGGTCCTTTCTTTTTGTTCCAGATAACTTCAAACAAGAAGCACTTGGAGAGCCTGAAGAATGATGGCGATGCTCTTATCCAGGCTCTAGAGAGCCTGGTCCAAACTGCCAGGTGAGTTCCCTCAGGCTTTCAGGAATTTCCAGGGCTGGGAGTGCTTGCCTCCTCTTTTGTCTGCATCGGTCTTCTGTAATTCTGTGCAGTAAGAGCTTCTCAGGTTTCTGTCCCTGATCCCCCTCCCTGCACTGCTCTCCTCCAAAGTCCTCTCTGTCAGAGCCTGCGGCATGCTTTGATCCCCAGCTGCTGCACAATCCAGCTCCGTGCGTGTGTCGATTCTGTGGATTTTTTTTTTTCTTAATTTATTATTTTATTCCAAACCTTGGTCCCTCTGTCAGGGGTTCTTGGCAGAGTGGGCTGCATGCACAATGTAACGTTTGTGCCCCATGTTAAGGTAGCTGTGGTTGATGCCCTTGAAATCTGATTCCTTTCAAATGTTCGGCTGAAGAACAGAACTGCTTTTGTTTAAGAATGCCTGTAGCTTCTGCAGAAGGCACGAGACTTAGGGGAATGCCATGGCCTTCTCTGCAAGAACAGAGGTGCTAGTCCTAACAAATTGGCCAAAGCTTAGCTCATCTCCCATAGACTTTTCCTTATCTGATCCCCCTTGGATATATGAATGAATTAATCAATGGCTGTTCTCTGCCTCTCAAAACAAATTTTGTGCTTCTGCTGTGGGCTGTTGGGCTTCATTTCACTCCTGGTGAACTGAAATTCATAGAGAAATTGTATTTCCAAGGTCAGTTTTTGAAACACTAGGATAATCTTTACAGTGCTCTTTGCCTCCCAAATGCAGGCTTTTGGGAAAACTGGCTCCTCAGCATTAAGGCAGCATGTACCGTGTGTTAGAAGGAAGGGGGGATGTGGGCAGACATGGAGAGGAAATGCTGGGATGTGGCAAGTGCAAGAGATGCACACCAAGGACCAGCCAAACCTGTAGAGAGCAGTCAGCATCCTGCTTGCACACTCAGCTGCTGACTCACAGGGTTTTGTATGACACATTAAATTATCTCACTAAAATAAAATGTCAGCTCTCCCCAAGGGAGACACAGGCACCACCACTGAAAATGAGATTGGGGGCACACAGGGTTTTCCTCTGTTAGAAATAACTTTCACTTTGTTTGTAGCATTTCAGCATTAGATGCACCAGACAGTCCAGTCATTGTCTTTGAGTTCTGCTTTTCTGACTTCCTCAGTAGCTTGCTACAGTCTGTATGTCTCTGTATGCAGAAAAACACATGCTACAGAGCCCAAATCAAGAGCATTCACCCTATTTTAACACAAGATGCTCAGCAGATCAAATTCCAGATGATGCCATTGAGGACTGTTGTGATACAGTAAGGTGAGCCAGGTCCCTCTGCTGTGCCAAGCTTCTGCACTGTAACAGCAATAAGAGAGCCCCTGAGAGCTCATGGATTTTCATTTCCCCTCCTCCCCTTCTTTAGGGAACACATGTCCCTATCCATTTGCCTCCAGAGGAGGCTGAGAGGGACTGAGCCTGCTTCTTGGGGCAGTAATGGACTCAGACGTGCATAAATTGGCAACAGATAGGCAGAGGAAGCCTGGAGTTAGGAAGCTTTATCAGACTTAGCTGAATGGACATTTATTTATGAAAGCAGTAGATATTCTGCCTTCTCCTCACATTTCCTTATGTGGCATTTTTCCCAAAAAATTCCTTGTGACCTGATAAACTTGGTCTCCTCACATGTGCTTTGAACCTTTTTAAGGAGCCTCTCTGTATCTCCTGCAGAACTGGAAATATTTTAGAAGCAGCTACAGCCGAGATCCTGGATCTAAGCCATCCTCGGGGTAGTCTAAACTCCCAGGCCCTTCCACACACATATTACCACTGGTTTGAGTTGCTTGAGGAATGTTTTTGCTTTGCTCATTTCTTACAGACAGGTTTCTAATCTCTCCCTCTTCCTGTGTGTCAGAAGGGAAGTGTGTCCAGCCAAGCAGTCGAGTGCTAAGAGAAGGGCGCTGGTTGGATGGAAAGCTGCTTTCAGTGCTCCCCTGCTGCCCTGTAGCAGCCATGGATTGTCAAACTCTCTCTCAGTGATGCTTCCTGAGCTGATTGGAACAGGCAGTTCTAAGAATGACATGACCAACCCATTTTGCTTAGTAACAACCTGGAATCAAATCCATGCTTTAAAATGTGGGATCATGTACATTTATTTTTCAGTAAAGGCAGTTGCTAAGATTAATTTGTTTCAGATAACTGATTTAAACTGCTGCTTATTACAACATTGGCTTAAGTAATGTGAACCGATCATTTGAATTTTCTGGTTAGCTCTGTGTTCCCAAAGTGTGGCGTACTGGTAGATATTGTCATTAGCAGCAGTAAAGGAAGTTGCAGATTGGTCTGCTGATGTCCTTTCTAAGCTATAGATGAGGGATGGCGGTCCATAAAAAACTAAAAAGACTTGGTTCTGTAGACTAGGAATAATATGTTAGAGCCTCTGTTCCAATGCTGGGAAAAAAGTGTTTCCAGAAGAAAAAAATTAGGCAAAATCTATATAATAAAACCTTAGGTGAGGAAGCAAGGGGCCCCAGTGCAGCAGTGTGGTTGGAGGGGCAGTCGATCCTCCTTGCAGGAGGTGGGCAACACCTGGAGTGGACGTGCCTGCCTGTGCAGAGCAGCGCTGCAGGCAGAGGGCTCTGTGTGTGTGAAAATACACCTTTCTGCCAAGCTGCAAGTGTGCATGTGAGGAGTCACAGGGTGTATGATAAAGTCTGCCTTTTTTCACAGAGGAGGTTGAGTGAGCTAGCAGGTACTGGGAGTTTGAGCTGAGATTCATTTCTACTCAAGATTTGCTACAGGGCCGAACCACTGGTTAAATGTTACTGCTTAACAGAAAAGCAGGGTAGAGAGTGCAGTTAATGGCTACTCAGAATTTTCTAGCATAAATAAAGGCAAATGTGGAATTTTAAGAAAACATTTTTTTCTCTGAGGACATCTAATAAATGTTACTGTTTTTAATTTCTAGCTCTCATGTTGACACTGCTGTAGCCTCCTTGGCATTTGAAATTCTGAGAGCGGTGGGACATGAAAATATCAAGACTCCCAAGTGAACAATTTTTGACCAGCCTTCTGAAATGTGCAGGTTGTGTACCCTGCTCAGCACCTTGGTCCTGCAGGAACATCTTCACATGAGCTGAGCATTTAGCAATCTGAGCTGCAGCATATGCAGAATTTAGGCTCAGGAACGGAGGGAAGCTGGTTCAGGGGTGGGGAGGGGGTGGTTTGTTTTTTAAACCCCTGTAAGGATGAATTCTTGGTTACTACTTTGCTATGCTGGCTTTACATGATGTAGCTCAAGTATTTGATAGTTTAAAAGTGTAAATGAAATAAATAGTAGAGTTACTTTACAATATAAAGTGTTTCACTATTTCAAGTTAGTTAGAAATGCTCATTTATCTTGGGGACCAGGTGACTGCCTTGGCTGTTCGTCTTAAGGGGTGACCTCATGCTTGTGACTGGCACTAGAAAATACCTTTTTATCAAGACAGACAATATTGTTCACCTCAAGCAACCACTACCAACCACTGTGATCACACAGAGGCTGTGTGTGTGGTATGTAAGGATGATAGATGTTACCCAGGTTTCTACTCGCAGCCTTTTGTGTGCCCCTCCTTTGCCTAGCACTGCACAGCTTAAGCTTCATGGGTGTTGTTCTCAACTGCCAAGGCTCCTGGCTGCAGTTCTTTGAGAACAGGTGTGATGATAACCCTGGCAGTTTGTCAAACCCCCAGTAAAAGCTGATACTCTAGAAAAGGTCCTCTAGAGCTTGCAGATCTCACAGTGTGTGTAGAGTTAAATTCTTCTCCACATGTGCTGTGGTTGATGTCTGTCAGTCTGTCAGTGCACTCACCAAGCACAGTGCCTGTGACAGCTGCTGCTACACCCCTGCTCTTGGACAGCCCCGTTACCCAGAGTATGTGGATGCAAGCAAACAGCCCCAGGTAAACAGATTTCACCTTGTGTCTTAGAGGAATTGTTTTCTTGCATTACTTCAAAAACTGCTATCTTTCAGCAGGAGTTACTAGAAAGAGGGAGAAGTGCTGGCTATTATTTGGTGTAGTGTTTTACTGTAAAAGTTGAATAACCAAGTGTGGCTGAGAGCCACAACAAAGCTGAATTCCTTGTGCGAGTCCTCTCCCTCTGCAGCAGAAGGGAAAGCAGGCTGGTGTGGCTCCCTTCAGCTCTCAGTGTCTCAAGCCAGAAGCCTCTGCAGCAAAGCCTGCTCTGATCTCCTGCTGGCAAACTGCTGCATGCAGTGGATGTGCCTGGAGTGCTGCTCCCAGAGCTGGTGACAGCTGCACGATGCACACGTGCAGTCTGCGGCTGAGCCGGCAGTCTCAGAACCACTTTGTCCCCTCGCAGTCACACAGGTGCTGCCTCAAGGGAAGGGAAGCCAGTCACACACAAGTCTCGTCTTGCACAGCAGCTGAACACTGAGGACACCTGAAAAGGGCTAGGAACCAGCTGAGAGCTTGTGGGCAAAGGATCTTTCACTGTCCCTGGACAGTGCTGTCACTGCCACTGGAGTGCTGCGGGCACCTCTGAGGGGAACTGAGGCTGCTCACCCTTTGTGAAGCCCAGAGAGATGTGGGGCTGGCAGGCCTGGCACCAAGTGGAGTTGGCTCACATCTGGCTAGAGCTGCCCCATGCTAAGGACCCTGCCAAAGCAAAGCAGGGGCAGACTGGTGCCTTAGAGGACTGTAGCAGGAAACATCCAGGTTCTGAAGGGTAACTATGCCAGAGTGGGATCAAAGAGGTAAATTATTCTTGGCTCCCTCCACTAAAGTGGTTGTGCAAGTCAAGGACTATTTCTTAAGACACAAATATATTTTGTGATCTGAAATAATTTGACACAGAATGAATTAAAAGTTTACTTTAATTTTGAACCATTTTATAACTGCATTTTTCTCATGAAGCATCTGTATCACAGCAGGCTACAATAACTTTGGGATAAAAGGCAACTGGTAAACTGTCCAATACAAGGTTCCAAATAAACAGTTTTTACTGGCCCCTACCCAGACATATCCCAGATAAAGTTTTTGATCAAAAACATGAAATAGATCCACCTGCTTATTTTAAGCATATTAAAAAGGAAACTAATTGGACCATTTCTATTTGTCTAGTTTTTTATACAAAAAGGCTACACAATGTTACACTTTATTCAGAATACAGTTAGAGCGATTATGAATTAGTGTTCTACACCTTTACTCAATCCTTAAAAATTAGAAACTGCTGTAGCATATTCACTATAACTTAATACTACGAGAGACTTTAAAAAAAACTAACAACAATTACTGCAAAAAGAAAGGCTACTTCCAAAGCAAGCAAGGTCAGTACCATTACAGAGATTTAAAAAAAATAATAAATTTTTAACAAGCAAGGCTAGGGTTTGATAAATTCCATCTTGCAATTCCTTCTTGTGCATTCTTCGTTTCTTGAATCACTCCCAAAATCCATTTGTATTATTACTCCTCGACCAAAAAGGACCAGAACAAAAAGTTTACTTCAATTGTTCCCATAGGAAACTCAGCTTGGTTAGTGTGTCAGGCACTTTCTGAGATACTAGCCCACCCCTCGAGCCCTCTCAGCAACTCTACAGGCCAATCAATGCAAGTTCACTCAGATGATACAGCTGCAAAGAGAAAAAACACAGGTGTCAGTGCTCCCGAGTTGTAAATGGCTGCTGTAACACATCAAGACTGCATGAAGCCGGTGCACAAGACATTACAGTTAATTACTTCCACACTTCACGGCAGAAGTCAGTTTGGAGTGTGCTCATTGTGTGTTTCCAGAGCATTTATTCGTTATTGTGACACACTAGGACCCAGTCGAGCCAATCCCTCCCTGCCAACCGAGTCCTCAGTCCAGTCAGCTGTTTTTCATTTTTGTTTGTTTTGTTTTTAAATTCAAGGTTGGAGCTTCTTACCTAAAGGATGATTTACAGGTCAGTATCGAACCAGGCCAACTGATTACTGTCACCTGGAGGCAGCCCATCCATAAGGTCCTGGGCATGGCCAAGATCTGGCAGACCATCAACTGGGTAGTCAGCACCAGGGTGGTGGCCACCCATTTCATGTTCCATCATAGGGTCCATACCCAAGGCATCCTGACCGTATCCGCCAGAGTGGAAAGAACGGTAGCTAGGATCTAAGAAAGTTAAAGGTGGCAGAGGGAAAAAAAGCATAATGTTAACAGATGTTAGATGCATCGGAAGCTGCAAGTATCAGTGTGTGAGGAGATCGTGTAGCCATCTAATTGTTTTCTAGTTCAGCCAAGTTCAACACAATCTGGTGCCTGCCCTTAACAGCTATTCCATTGTTCGGAAAAGCCTTCCAGTAGGATTCTGCAGACAAAGCACACTGCAGTCAGAAGCACGAGCAGATTCCAGCCAAGCCATTAGTCTGCACAATCAACAGTACTAAAATTCAACAATACTGCAGCAAAACCAGGCTCCAAGACTGTAGACTCGCTTCTGAAAGACTAGTCAAAAATAGCTCAGAATCCTTAGGGATAGGCTTGTTCAAATCTATAGACACTCACAGACTAATGCATTCAATACCAGCTTTGTTGTTTTAAAGAAAAACTGCACTATTGGAATTGTCAAGTCCATTTGTAAGGAATGGAAAAGATTTCTGGAAACAACAGCTCAGCAGGAGGTGTTCCCACAGGACTCAGACAAGAGACACTGGTTTTGCATGTCCATACGGCTCCCATTTCAGTGCTGCCAGTGGTGTTGCAGAAATGGGTTATTTGAACTGGCAGTTCCCCATCTGCCTGTCAGTTTGCAATACCTTGCTGAAGAGTAAATTCACTCTTCACTCATTTGCAGTTCTCCTTTAAAACCTATGACTTGACTTGATCCAATTGAAAGTTTAGTCAAGGGGAACAGAAGACACGTACCATCTGGGCGGTATCCAAGAGGCTCTCCCTGGGCACCGATATCCAGTCCGAGATCCGCTGTCTATGTGTACACAAGGAATTACAAAACAGTTTTAACATCGGGTCTTTTGGCCAGCACCAGTAATTCTGAGTTTAAAAAGCTGTAAAGCTTCCCCAAATCCCTCTGAATAACTCCTCTGCAGTGAGCACTGCAGCACTGCTGTCAACATGAAATGCCTTTTTAGCTGAAGTATCTGCATCCAACATGTAATAGCCAGATTTAGGAATCCACAGATCACTGGAAGGAGGGTTCTGTCTGGGAGTGAAAAAGATAGGGTAGCTCTAGGAACACTCCTCAGGTACACCTGTCCCGATCCTGAAAGCCAGCAACAGAGCTTTTAAGAGTTCTGAAGGAACCTCTCCCATTTGTTCAACTACAGAAGTAACTGCCTGCCTGCATAACAATTGTCTAATTCAGTCTCAGAGAGATATTCCATTTTACCTTCCCCCCCTCCATTCTTGTGGTAGATAGAGATTTTAGGAAAACAGAAAAATAAGCACTGAAATAGTACAATTTAAAGGCTACTGCTCCTTGTGTAGTAGATACATACAAGACAAGACAAGCTAGGCTCCTGAATCTGAAGAATTTGTGGGAAGACAAAGAATGAGTAAAGCCTTCCCTGTATCCCATGCACACAGATTGACTTCCGTCTCAATTTACTGCGTAGTCCATTAAAAATGAAAAAATGCCATGTGTGATAATGAGCCTGCAAATATATTCAAGTCTGAAATCTCAGTTCTCAGGACATGTTGAATTCCCAGCCCAAGATTACTAATCCTGCATTGTTGGCTTGATAGAAGCCTCACAGGATATGTTTTGTATTTATGCTTCCCTCATATCACTCATGTTTCTATTTTTGCATTCAGAGTTCATGAGGTTTTGACAAGCAACACAGAAAAGTACGAAGTTTTTGTATACAGCCAGCTTTGCAAACTAGCAAGCATAATGAGCATTACACACTTCAGCAGCAGCAGCAGAGAACAGACTCTTCCTGTCTGCCAGGGAAAAAGCAGCTTGAAGGCTGCTTACCACAGGTTCACTGCACCTGAGCACAGAGAGTGAGTAAACAAGGTACAGCCACCACACAGCTGGGCAAAGCTGGGACTGTATCACTGATGGCATCTACGCTTCACTGGTGGAAGGAGGGAGAACACAGAAGTGAGCTCTCCCTGGGGAACTGTTAACACAGATCACAGAACTCACCTCGTTCCAAGCCATTGGCTCGGTCCGGAACAGGGAGCTTGTCAACTCAACAGAAAGTCTCTTCTTGTAGTCCTGTGGTTTGTCCTCAGACATTCGGAACAGCACTGCAGCTGCGTAGGTTGCTGCCGAAAGGAAGAGTGATTTTAGCAGAGGTCAAGACTTGTATCAACTCTTCTAACACAA